AGACTTATGCGCCATCCCCTTTTGAACGTTTTTTTTTTTTGCTGACAGTGATATTTTTCATTAGGTTCAGTAGGATTTTAACATTCACAATTATATAAATTAATTTTGGTTTCATCCGTTTTCGGATTTTACTGTATTTTTCATGCTATATGTAGTACTGTACTGTTTCTTCTGAGGAGACAATGTAGACACAACATTGTAGCTTTAACATAGCATAGCTCTTGAGCTAACAAAGGCTAAGAAAAAACTTTGAGACTGAACCAAATCTGTGGAAAATAATGTTTATTTAAATAAAAGGGAATACGTAATAATTGTTACGTATTGGCTGTAAGAACGATTGAGTCAAAGTTGATATACGAGCCCTGTCTCAGTGAAGTTGGCCCAACTATCAAAACTACATTTTTTATGAAACGTATTAAAAACTAAAAAATGTATTTGTGATAACATACGATATTTTTATTTAATATTAGCTTAAAGTACTTCTTTTTTCTGTAATAAAGAAAAAACATCTTACAAATTAAAAAAAACTGCAAGTCCATTTTAAATCTGATATATTGTTTTCTAATATCCAGTCTTTTACTTTTTTAGCCGTATCGCAAGTGGCGCCATCTTGTTGGAAAATACATTCAATATTTTTCAAACGCATTTGTTCAATTTGGGGTATCAAGTTATTTTGAAGCACAAAGTGTAAGGTTCGTACTCCACTTGCCGACATGGATCTCCAAATAGTAACAACAGCTGGACACTTGACTTTAAAGACAGTAATTCTGAAACACTTCTTCGTTAGTTCTTTTTTTTACTATCAGCAACGCATACTTCAAACCTGGCTTTTTCACTCCAAATAATGGAGTTCCATTCTTTGGCCCACGCTAGTCTGTTTTTCTTCTGATTCTTTGTCAGTAAGGGCTTCTATTTTGCCTATACATACTGTATTAAAAACGAATAATAAAAAAATAATTTAAGCTAGTAAGTTTTAAATCCCAGTTTTCGGGCAGCTCTGTGAGAAGTTGCCCTTGAAAACTTTTTTGTGGTTGCCTTCCATATTTTCAATTCGTTGTGATTAGCACGCCGATTTTCCTTGATAATCCGTTTTGAGGCTCTTAAGTTTGTATTGGCATAACGCGGGCGACTTCCAGTTCTAGGTTTTTGAGCCATAGATCCCGTTGTTTTGTACAATTAATAATATTTCGGACTGTATACCTCGATTTGAGAAGCATTTTGGCTTTTTAAATGCAAGTGAAACACCAATGCATCGAACGTATATTTAAACTTTAAAAATCTGCTTTTAGCAATGTAAAATGTTATCAATTCTTTTATAAATCCAACCTTTAGCGACCATTTTACTTGAGTTTTCTCCATCGTGTATTTTGCTATACACAAATCATTTTCCAAAAAAGATAATTTCGAAATAAAAACGCTTTAAAAATAGCCGCGTCGGTTTTTTATCTGTCCACAAAGATTTAAAGAAACCAAAAATATATTTGAAATAAAATCTTAACTAGCCCTCAAATAAATTCACAAATCAATCTCCATGCTAAAAAAGCATCGAATTGATTTTGTATTAGTCGAAAAAAAATTCATGTATGCCTATATACCACAGGTGGTTTTATTAATTGATCAAGAGAAATGAATCATTTACTGTTAGCGATATTTCCCTCGTTCTTTTTTATGAACGAAGGATTTACAGACGGGGTTCCTGCCAATTCGTTTGTTCTCTGCTCAGGGTGTAAACGTTATGATAGTCATTATTTAAATGGTTGATAGAGGGTGTTAAAAGATGCAAAAAGTTTTACATAACGTGGGGGTCAAAATGGCATTTTTTAGAGTAAAATAAAATCTGACTACGCCGCAAAGCTATGCAAAACGATAACTAACCACTGTAACCGTTTGCGATCGATTGCCGGTTCGATAAGAATGATGAAAGACCGACGCGCTTTTGTCATGTGTCTTTTAAATATTTAATATAATGAAACTTACTTTGGCTTAACTTAGAAAAACTTAATGCCATTTATTTGTCAATTACCCAATTTAAAAACGTTTTAGATTAGGTTATAAAAATTAGTAAGATTGTGTGTTTACAATGGATCACGTTTAAATAACAACTTGGGCACCTTTCATCCGAAATCGTTTGCCAGTTAAAAACCAAACAAGATATCAAATGGGATATAGCTTGAAGCTTAAGTTTTTGCAGTAACATCAGACCTGTAAAAAATATCACTGTCACTTTGTGTCGGAATTCGCGAGCCTTAACATATAGACCTTGATCCATACACATTAATCGCGCGCTTCTCCGTTTTATTCTGCTCTTGCGTCCCAGGCACAGTGTATAAAATTTGTTGGAGATGCAATTGAAACCTGCTCTAAATTTGGCAGCCATGACCCTTCTAAACGGTAACGGTGCAAATATACATACAGACACATCCAAGTATGATTTTCTGCCGAGGAAGGCTGAAAAGTCGCGCGTATAGTCGCCTACGCGAGTTGGTCTGTGTAAAAGTGTTGCAAGAGCATTTCATAATAATATATTTTTGTAGTATACTGACACGACGTGCGACTTTTCAGCTGTTCTAGTATTTTGTGATTAGGAAATTTGTAAAGCTTACACTTAAGCCCTTGTATAAACGTTTAAAGCGAATGTGTTTCTAAGTATATATATAAAAAGTATATATGATAAAAAAGGAATATTGAGAGTGATGAGGGAGAATTAAGTTAGGATTAAACAGCTAGACTACGATATAAAAATGATTATCAACTATATGTAATATACAATACGTACATAATATACTATGTGCCATTTTTCATAAATACGTGTTTTATTTCCTACTTTTCCATATATTCATCATCACTGTGCGATATCGATTTCTCAGCATACTTTTGTTTTTTGAGTGATGATTTTTTAATATCAAACAGTAACGTGAGACATTAGAAGAGTTACGCCCAGAAAATATAATTTCTACAACTTGTTTTTTTGTTGGCAACGTAATGACTATATTGCTGTGGCTACAACGTCAATGTTTTATCATTGTTTTTGTTTACCTTTTTAAAATTAGTTTTTGTGAAGAAAGCAGTTTCTGGGAAGCGTAGTGTAATTATTTTTTCTGGGTGTAACTCTTCTAATGTCACTGAGTTTACAGGGTGGCGCATCGAAAACGAAACAAACGCATTTACTGGCAAATCATTTTTTTTTTTTTGAAAAACGCTCAGACCCGTCGATTTTGTTTTCGAGGGCGACACAAGTTTGGCAAAAAATCACGTTAACACGTGCAGCCCCCTGGGCGGGGGTGACACCAACCCTACAATCTTAAATGGAAAGGGGGGTCGAGTGATACCTTATTTTAAAGGCCTTTCAATTCCCTTTATAATGATGTAAAATACATGAGCTTCAGTTCAGTAGTTTTGAAGATTTATTGATTTAAAGCTTAAGGTAGACTTTAATAGGTACATCAGATTAGTTTGTACTACTTTCAGAAGAAATTTGACTAAAAGAATTTACTTAATAAGAATGAATCGGCGTTTGCAGAAACGACACATGTCCAAAAAAGTGATTTTCGAGGAAATGGAAAAAACATTATATTATTTGTTGAAATAAATGCGCCCTGTGCTTAACGGTTGGAAATCATAGTTTAAGGCGGCTGTACTATCTTCTAACATTTAATTTTGTTCAAAATAAAAAGAAAAAGTTTGTACTGCCTTCTAAAGAATTCGACTTGTGAGCTTTCTGCATAGCGTAGGATGAAATTGAAATACTTTTGTCTAATGGAACGTGATTATTTATTACAAATTGAAAAAAAAACATGTAATTTCTAATTGGAAGTAGTTGGCCAACTAAGTATTGAAGCATAGAATTCTTGATATTCATCTTCTACAAATGCTGCACATTTTCTTATGTGTTCCATTTTTGTCATCTTTATAGGGACTTTTCCTAATGGATAGGCCCGTTGAGAAGGTAACGCTACTGACTGTTGGTGGAGTTTGAATGTGTGTTGGAAGCTCGTCTATGAATTGCGAAGCCTCGACGCAACCCTTTGTGTATCGTAACTAAAGTGTGAATAGGTACTTATATTGAAATGGACCTTCAACTTACGTGGTGTAATGTTGGAAGAAGTTTCCTCAGATACTACGTTTTTTTTTGTATAGTTTTGGCCACCACTCTTTAAAATTTATAATATCTTCTGTTTTTACTTCTTTAACTGTAAATTTATTCGACTTGCTGCTCATTACAATCAATTCGGTTAGTTGTTAAACCGTGGAGATTCTGTCATGTTTTTTTAGTTTTCTCTTCACAATAGCAAAGTCTCTATCGCAGGGAAGGAAAGAGTGACCTCTTATAGGAAAATAGTGTACGATTTTGGAAAACTGGCCAATATCTGTCAGTGCAAGAAGCATGATTCTTATTTTGTCCCCAGCAGTTGTCACTGTATAAGTGGATCTCATTTATATTATTTCTGGGAACATCCTTAAGGTAATCCAAAAGAAAAGAGCAAATCTCGTTGGGAGTTTTCTTCGCTTGCCCTTCATGATATATATACATTCGTGCAGTATTTTCCTTAATATTATGTATACAAAACACCGAAGTGGTCAGTTGCTGGTAATAAAAACCATCACCTACAGGTTTTTTTGGCAGTTGAACATTTTGCATAAAGTCGAAAGCTAAAGCTAGAATATTTTTTGAATCACAAGGTTCATTAGACTCTCTTTTCAGTTTTGCATAACATTTTTTAGTTCGCCGTTTATGGACTAGCAGCTCTGCAACTGCTGTTCGTCTGACAGTATCATTTAAGTGGGTGTTTTTTATTTTGTTGTTTAAAGTCTCACATGTTGCACACATATCAACTTGAGGGCGTCCGAATCTCAAAGAAAAATTTTCTCGAAAATACTTTATGTAATATGGGTAGCTGACTTTCAATGTGGGGTATTTTTCCTTAAATAAGTCGTACATAATCTTTAAATTCAGCTCACTATTTAAGTACTTAACTTCTCGATTTGCATAATGGCTTAATTTAACGGGAAACGACTGGAACAGCAAACTGAACTTCTTCGCCGAGTTTATTACCACTTGGATTTTTTCCACGTAAGACTCTAGGGGATTTTCCTAGCACGGCAAGATCTTTAAGTCTTCTAACTCGACCCAAAGTAATACCATATACTGAGATAAATGCTTTCAAACAAACTTCAATCTTGTCTGAACCTTTGAATGTGTAGTATTTAAAGGTATTGGATTTTGCTTTAGTACCCACCTCAACCCTAGCGCGCCGCCGCTGTATACTTCGAACCTCTATCAGTCCTTGCAGAAATATATCCTTAGATTTAATAGAAATAAAGCGCACCATATTTGATTGCAGTTCTTCGTTGGAGAATTTTTCAAAACATTTTGCTCGACAGCTAAAAGATAAGAAAACATTTTTCAGAAGTCAAGCAGAAATAAAAAGCCGTTCTAAAGTTACCTGCAAGCGGAGCCAAGTATTTTGCCAGGAATATTATTACCCTTGTAGTTTTTATAAGGTTCGCCTTTTACACGTGCCTTTTCAATAATGCTTCTTTGGTAACAATTAGGATTTGCCCTCTTCTTTCGATGGGAAGAACTTTCGTTTTCAGTGGAATCCATCGCGTACTAGTAAACACTACAGCGGACCACAAAACAACTACTGACGAGATCAACAAAAAATAAAATAAGCAAACTCTATTTTTTACCAAAATAAGGTTCTCTTACATTTTTTGATGCAAGCGATTAGACAAGGAGAAAATCATTTGCGGTAGATGCGCATGACCAAGAAGACCGCTACCGATATAATTTATCCAAGCTACACATCGTTTTCTCTTGAAGTATAACACGGACACGTGTTATTTCTTCGTAGTTCGACGTAAATATCTATATATTTGTAATTAAAATTGTATAAAAATGGACATGTGTCATTTCTGCATACGCTGATTCAAATGCTTTTCTTCTCTTCGCCTATGGTTTGTTTATCACTTTGTTGTTGAAAATAGCTATTGGAGCGTTTTTTTGTGGCAAAAAAGTTATTTCTTGAAGAAAGATAGGGAAATATCTCGTACTTATTTTAAATAGGAATTTAGTATATAGTTTGCGATTGATTTGACCAAACTTTGTTGCTAAAATAACTTGTAACTCTTTATTACATAAATTAACCATGGTATATTCCGCATCAGAAATAGTTGAAATTATCCAAATATTTTTCGGAAATAATCGGTGCGCTAATAGAACAGCAGAAATATTTAATGAGCGACATGAGAACAGTAACGTGCATCGAAAATATGTTGTAGAACTTGTAGCTAAATTTCGGGAAACATTGAAAATCCCATAAGGAACGAAGCAATAGAAGTGGGGGTTTTTAGGGCAAGTTTATGTAGATCCTACGTTAAGTACCCGCAAATTGGAGACTGGGTGTGGTGTTAGTCGACGTACTGTCCAACGGATTCTAAAGGTCCATAGTTTTCATCCGTATAAAATTCACCTGGTACAAGAACTTAATGAAGACGATTTTGATCGGCGATTACAATTTTGTGAAGATATGAGTGAACGAATTATAAACGATGAACATTTTCTATTGAACACTTGCTTTTCCGACGAATGTTCCTTTTTCTTAAATGGCGTAGTAAATCATCATAACTGCCGATATTGGTCCGATTCTAATCCCAGAATTTATCATGAGGTTCATACACAGCAGCCACAAAATTTAAATGTTTGGGCTGGTATTTTTGGCGATCATTTAGTTGGTCCTATTTTCTTACCTGGAAATTAGACCGGTGAAATGTATTTGGAATTACTGGAAGACGCCATAGATCCTGCATTAACAGCCATAATTGAAAATCAGAATGATCGGCGGTACATTGCGAATAGGTTGATGTTCCAACAGGATGGTGACCCACCACATTACGCATTACGCGTTCGACAATATTCAGATCAGACGTTTCCAGTTCGATGGATTGGTAGAAGAGGTGCCATTGAATGGCCCCCAAGATCGACAGATTTCTAACCTTTGGATTCCTTTATGCGGGGTTATTTAAAAAGCAAAATCTATGCTACTCAGAAGACCTGCGACAAAGAATTGCCTTCAAATTACTCCTCAAATATTGCAAAATATGCGGCAACGTTTTGAGCAAAATCTGTATTATTGCATGGAGTCATGGTGGCCATTTTCAACATTTACTTGCCTAACGGGTCAGTTCATTCTTCATTTTTTTTATTTAAGCTTTAAATTCATAAATTTTCAAAACTACTGAACTAAAGCACATTAATTTGATATCATTATAAATTGAATTGAAAGACCTTTAAAATAAGGTATCACTCGAACCCCCTTTCCATTTAAGATTTTGGGGGTGGTGTCACCCCCGCTTAGGGGGCTGCACGTGCTAACGCGATTTTTTGCCAAACTTGTGTTTTTCAAACACATTAGAAACTTACAAAGCGTAGGGAAGAAAGTTTCTATTTTCAAAAAAGTATACACACAGGGATTTTATTTTTTAAAAATAACAACATTGAGATGTTAGCTATCATATATCAGTTTTCCATTCCACCCAACACTTCGTTTACAACTGCTAAAGACTCGTTGGCGGTATAGGATGTCATGGCATCTTGTAGAAACCTGCTACGGTAGGCTTCGAAATTGTGCAGTTGTGGACAGAAAAAATAACGTAGCATTGCTGTGTCTCCATTTTTGTAATAAGCCTTAACACAGAACGCACGCTAAATTTTCGAGCACCAAGCTACTTATCCCCACTACCCGCTCTCGCGTGCCTGTCACGAGCGATGCAGTTTTGAGATCCGTACGTCTTTCTGGTCCACCCTGTACTTCGAACGTGGCTGCTCGCATTTACAAACTATATCATAGGCGGCCGAGCATACCGCTAGCTACCATACCACCGATATTCTTTGATATATGCTTGTGTGTAACCAATGGATCTGCGTCCATTAGTCATTGGACCCCATGGCGATCATAGGACCGGGGAATCTCCTTTCGAGAGCGGAGCAGGTGACTCCATAAGTCTTGTAGGCGTATGGGGCTGCAAGATGCTAGTGTACGATTGACGATTGGCAAAACGCTGCAGTGAAACAAATGATTCACAAACCGGGGCAACCCAAACCCCTGTTGGAGGCAGGAGGGATTCGTCCGCAAAATCTCCAAAACCTTCCGAGCGGCGTATTGTGACGCTAGGTGCGCCGTTTTTGCGAGTTTTCAGCACCCTCTTAAGAAGCTCGAGTTCTATGACCCCGTGGAATTTAATGCAAACTTAACACAAACATCTTTCTGCCCGAGTTGTAGACATGTACAGATCACAAGTTTGGCAATGCGGACGTTACAGGAAATAACAAATTTCTCTGTATTGAAGTGTGGTTCGTACTCAAGCCGTCTGAGAGATTTGATTCTCAGTGTATGTTTTGGACTGAATAAAACCAATGTCATCTACAGTATATTCAGATAAGAGATAGACCGGACATAAACAAGACAACGTGATCATCGAACGCTGTAACATTCGGCAGGGACGTATTAAGAGTCACGCAGTACATATTTTAGATAGTAGATGCTGCTTTGCGTAACTTTGTAGTAAATTAGCACAATTCATGTGGGGGTGGGGTAAGAAATATATAATGATGTAAATATACATAAGGGTTTCAAAATTTTCGCTTCGATTTCCAGCTTCGGATGCCGCCTAATGTTTGGTGAAATACAGTCGAATATAATCTCAAAATGGCGTTTAAATTAGCCTAAATTAAAAATAATCATATATCTCTTAAAATTGCTTTTAAAATATTGATTAGTATATTTTTTGATTTCTAGGTAAATATGTAACCAAATTAAAACGTTCAAAACGTAAAAAAATGTGCATGGTTGAACATTGTCAGAAAGTAGATTCTTGAATAGGTTTTGCCAAAATGGGTTCAAAAATGTCAATAATTAATTAAAAAATACAGTAGCTTTATAATTACTTATAACTTACCGAATTTGATGAACGACATCTTTTGTTGGAAAGATGAGCTTGATGAGCTTTCATCATCGCTACTGCTTGAAGCACCAACGTCAATAATGAATGGCTCGACTTGTTCCTCTAAAATATTGTCCAGTTCCCACATTCTCTTTTCAACTTTGTCTTTCACGTGCTTAATACAGTTTTCCCATTTTTGTGCTGTTATTAATTCTAGTGCTTCTTTGAAAAGTTCTTTGAGGTCACAAAATTTAAAAGTTGTATTGTGCTTAGCTATATAATTTTTAACCTCTGCCCATATGAGCTCAATGGGATTGAGCTCGCAATGGTCTGGAGGTAAACGGAGCACAGTTTTATTTTGACTTGCTGCCATTTCGTCAATAGCGTATTTTTGATATTCCGCCTTGTAATCCTTGACAATTCTTAATAATTGTACTTTCAGCATTGCTTCTTCAAAGTTGATATTTTTCGAGCGGAGCCAATTTTGAACATCAACTTTCCTTGAAGCCGTTGTTGGGACCTTCTCCATTCTTCGAGAATGATAAGGCGCATTATCCAACACAATTACTGCGTTTTCCTCTAACTTCGGTAAAATTTTTGAAAACCACTGTTCAAACGATTCGCCATTCATTTCCTCGTGGTAATCTCCAGTTTTCTTAGACTCATAGCACCACAGACCGTCAACAACAAATCCATCCTCACAAATAATGAGCCTTTTCCCTTTACCTGGAAATCGAAGTACTAACTGGTGTAGATTTATTTCACTAAGCGAACCTTTTTCAAATGTTTTCATCACATTCAGCGAAAAAACATTGAGACATGAGTATCAGATTGCTATAATTGGGATTATTTAGTCATATTGAAAGAAAGAATATTGAATGTCGTATGATTACTCAGCGCTTCACAATTTAATTTAAAGTTATAAACCTTTAAAAAATGAGTGATCAGGAACCTGAAATACGCGCAAATATTAATATTAACAAATTATAACTTTATAAAGCTTAAAGTATGAATTAAAATGATTAGAAATATTAGGAACGGTACACAATATAAAACTTAGTAACTTTTTTTAAGTTTATAATATTCGACATATTTTAAGATTATATTAAAAAATTATTGAAATATCGAAAAAATATAAAAACATGGCTTAAAAAAGTTCTAACAAATGAAAATGACAATAAAACATCCACGCATTTTATCGAAAGTTATAAAAGTTTTGTTACTTGTAATATGTTTTATCTGCCCCGTGGAATTAATGTTTAGAACCTTGTTCCCAAGGTTTGAAAAACATCCGATTGTTGTCTATTACTCGTATTTACCTGCTGGATTTTTTAATCCGGTGGACAGTCCATCTAGAAAGGCCCTCCTGGATGAAGTTACAGAATCATCAACCCATACTTTACTTGTAGTGTGTCCTGCGTTTACCCACGTTTCATCAA